TAACAGACATATTAAGTTCCATGATGGAACCTCCGATACCGGGTAACAACTAACAAATATTATATAATGCTAAGGATGCTACGAATACATTGTCAGAATTGGACAATCATTCATTGTACAGAACTTATCATTTCATAAAACAGATCCTTATTCAACATACAAAAATTAAATAAAGTTGAACATAGCTTTACTAAGTTATTATTCACAGAAAGCTTCGAAAGCAAACAAACAAAGCATACAAATCAGATAGCTTACGACGCGTGACCTACACAAATATAATAGATACAAAGATTGAAACACACACTTGGATAGTACTTGAAACACACACTTCGTTCTTAGTGTGTTTCTACGTCTTATCCTCATCATTATATCTTATTCGTGGCCTAGGAATGCCTAGGATGCAATGGGAATTCCAAAATGAGTTTCAAAACACTTAGTCATTTTTGCTGAAAACAGGGGTCTCGCTCAAGTACAACTTCTTTTGCTCGAGCGGTCTGTAAACTTTGCAAAAGTACTAGTTGTTTGATTTTTTTTCTTGACGCATGCTCGACGGTCACTCGAGCGGGAGACTGAGGTCCTCGCTCGAGTGCAACTCTTGTCGCTCGAGCGGTCTGCAAAACTTGTAAACTTCTAGGAGTATGAATTTTACACTCAAGCCAATTTTGGTCGCTCGAGCGAAAGTGCAAAAATATCGAGTGGTTGCTCGAGCGCAAGTTTTGTCTCTCGAGCGGAGGAGCAAAATTTTGAAATTTTTAGATTTGCTTCCAAGCTTCAAAATTCAAATTCAAAACCATTAAAATCAACCCTTGGGCCCCAAAACTTGAGAAAGCAAGTCTAAACTTTGAAAACATTAAGAATTCAAGATCATTTCATGAAATCAAGGCCCAAAAGCATGTAATTTGCTCAAAATCAAACTTGAATTGTATGTATGTCGAACATGCATGAGTTGTTATGAATTCAACATTCCAAAACATGATCAAGCAAGATAAAATGGCATGAAACTTGATGAATTCTCAAAACAAAGGTAAGATGGACACATGCTTGAGAGACTTCTTGAAATTAAACTCAAATTGTGATGAAATTGGACATGCATGCATGGTGTGATCTATACTCCTTCATTGTAGCTTAATTTCAACTTAATTCTCTTGTATTCATGAACTCACCAACTCAAAAACAAAACCAAAGGCTTGAATTCTTACCTTATACCTTGGATTCACAAGTGTAGAGGCTTAAACTTCTAAACTCTCTTCAATTCTCTAACAATTCCTGGCAATTCTTCTCTTCTCTCTTGTTGAACTCACTTTCACTCTTGGTCTCTCTCCTTCTCACACATTTGTAGCTCAAGAAGGATGAAATGAGAGTGTAAAATGTATACAAGGGTCCACTAGTGCCTTATATAGGTTTGGATTAAGGAATTCATTAATTAGGCTTTATTGGGCATTAATTATTCTAATTATTTCATTTTGAATCGAATTTCAATTAAACCTACCATAATGTTATAAAAATTCTAACTAACACATATTTCAAGTTAATTTCGTGATCGGATGCCGATGAGGCCTTCAATTTGCAGAGCAAAATAGAAACACAAACAAATATTCCTTCAACAGACATATATAAACACAAACAATGCAATGAATATGTACAGGATTTCATTTTAATTACTTATTAGGCATACTTAATCATGGCTTAATTATGGTTTAACAGTTAATCATGGGTCGGGGTTGTTACACATAACCTTTGTCTGTGCTTCTAATATAGACGCATTTGTCACATTTGTTTATTTTAAAGCCATCCGAAAGCATAGCGTGATCAAACTTTTCATGCCATTGTTTCGGAGCTTGTTTTAATCCATAAGGGGATTTGACAAGTTTATAAACTTTTTCTCTTGGCCAAGAATTTGAAACCCTTTCAGTTGTTCCATATTGATTTCCTTATCTAACTCGCCATTTAAAAATGCTGTTTTAACATCCATTTGACGTATCTCCAGATTATACAATGCTGTAATCGCTATTAGCATGCGAATAGATGTTATTCTTGTCACTGGTAAATAGGTATCAAAATAATCAAGGTCTTCCTTCTGCCTATATCCCTTAACAACAAGCCTATCTTTGCACTACAAGAATTCACACTTTTGCCGACTAAAAATTTGGTCGGCAAAAAGCCATTTTTAGTTGGCAAAAGTTATCCGCGACTAATTTTTTTGGTTCCCAATTGAGGGTCGTGGAAAGTAATTTTTTTAGTCGCAAAAAAGTTATATTTGCGACTAAATTTTTGGTCGTTAAATATATAATTACTGCGACTAATCCATTTAGTAGCTAAAACACTTTAGTCGCGAAAAGTCATATTTTCCCGACCAAACATGTCAGTCGCCAATTCGCACATTCAACGACCAAATAGTTTGGTTGGCAATTGTGGCCCATTTCCACGACCAGCAAATTTGGTCGCCAATTGTCACATTCTGCGACCAAAAAGTTTGGTTGGCAATACATTCCACGACCAACAAGTTTGGACAGCAAATGGCACATTCCACGACCAAAAAGACTGGTCGGCAATTGTCACATTCAACAACCAAACATGTTAGTCGTGAAAAAGAATGTTTGCGCAACTAAAACTTTAGTCGGCAATTGACCTATTAGCGACGAATTCCTTTTTGGTCGCCAAAATTAATGACTTTAACGACTAATTATTTAGTCGGCAAAAGTATTAATTATCTTTCCCAACAAATCAATTGGTCGCCAAAACAGAAAAAACAAGATCTACATTTGGTCGCCAACATCCAACTAAATAAACCTGTAATTCATAATAATTCATCCAATCCATTCAATATAATATGTAATTTACAAGCATCATTCAAATCAACTGAATCATGAACATTCAACAAAATATAAATCATCCAAACTAAACCTTTTTAATGAAAGTCATCAACTATTATAAGTTTTCATCCACAAGTGATTTCAAACTACATATTCCTCCCATTAAAAATTCACTTGTAATCTATATAATCATCCAAGTCACATCCATCTAGCATAATAATTTAAAACATAACAATTAGTTGTTATTATGTTTTAAATTGTTATCCATGCGCATCTATCAAAAAATATACACACTAGTAGTCTATCCAAATATTTTCCATACACATTCATCCAAAAAATATTACTAGTCTTTCCAAAAATATAACTACTAGTCCACCCAAATCTTTTCCATACACATCTATCCAAAAATATATATTCCCTCCAAAAATGCTTATACTGCCAATCAGTCATATACAATTTAGCTTTGTGCACGAGATAATCCATCTGTACCAAAGAAAATGAGAAATAATGTCAAGTAAATTTTTGTTGAAAATATTTGCACATCACTTTATTGTAAAATTGGACAAAAAATGTAAATTCTACATAGAAAGTAAAGGAAACATTAACAAATTAAATGACTATCAATACTATTTTGTAAATAAAATATCATTCATATGTATATATCAATTCTAACTATTGTTTCACAATATGCCAATATTGACCTATGTTTCAACAATGGAAACTAAGTTAAAATAGTCTTTCTACTTCTGAATAGTCTATATGCTTTGGTTGAACTTTTACCTAGAGGAGGGCAAGTGTGAGAGCGGAGTGGAAGATACGAAGTTGGGATTATCAACACAAGCTCCAGCAAAACAACAAACCCATCTCTCTATTAGAAGCATATTACCAGACTAATGTATGTGTTTTTGTCTGAATAGTCTATATGTTTTTGTCTCTAGCCATCTCTACAACTACTGTTTTCACTTTGGGCTACTGCATGAAGGGGTGCAAACGTGCCTTTGTAGCTTAGAAAGAGGGCATATAATAAAACTTATGCTTTAATATGCAGATGTAGAATATGAAAATCAATTCCCTCAGTAAAAGGTTTTTTCATTAGTCATACACTGAAGTGCACATTATTCAAAACTTATGTAGTTAAGAAGTTTAAAATTCCATACGAGACTAATGTATGTGTGTGTTCTGTGTACATAGCATTATTCTGTTTCTGTTCATGTCAATTTGGTAAAGGAAGAAAAAATTATGATGGTACTGTTTCTTATGTTGTTAAATCACAAACAGAATAAGAAGACCATGTATCTTATAATTAGTTTACACATTGAAACAATACAATATTCTGGAGCATCTCCATACTAAAACAAAACCAGATCAACTGGCTGCACCATAACAGGGCCCATCCTTAAATATCAATGTCACAAGTTGAAAAAATCAATGATGGACTGCAACAAGTACACCTATTCAGTCCCATTCGGGTAATAACCTACAGGTTTAGTATGTAGAGAAAATTTAATTGATTGTACTTCAGCAATGATATGGACATTCTTAAAAAATTCAGCCATTGCACTTTGTGGTTTAACTATCACTACTTAACTATGATCCAGAATAATCAAATTGTTATCCATCATCATATTTTGCCACTAGACTGTTGCAAATGCCAAAACTAGGAAAGTAGGTCATATCCAACAAACATAATGAAACCTTAAGGCCATGTTTGGCTGGCAGGAGTGGCAAGGAAAATGAGAATCTCATTCTATGTCTCTTTCATTCCTTTGTTTGGATGCATCTAAGAATGAGAATGTGATTCTTACAATAGTTCCCAAGGCAAAATGAAATTTTCACACTAGTAAGAATCCCATTCCCACATTCCCCATCGAAATCTCACATTCTTGGAGGTACATAACTCATTTCAGAATAAAATAAATTGATGGTCCCATAAAATTTAAAATTAAATCATATTCCTTTAGAGGATTTATAGAGGATTCCTAACCAAACCAAACACTTAAATTACATTGACACAGAAATATATTATTACTAGTAATGGAATCACTGGTAAAAAGATTCTCATTCTCACTCTTTGATTCCTCCTATCATCCAACCAAAACCTAAATGTAAGAAGGTGAATCTCAATTGCCAACATATGATATCCACAAAATACTAATCTTACTAATCCAAAAAATACATGTAACTACAGCAAGTATTACCTTTGAGTCATTCAACCTGTACCATGCATCTGGGGCAGAACGAATGAAGCAATAGTAATGACCTGAAGTGGATGAGAATCCGATATGCACAACAACTGCATACAGATTGTACTTCAATTCGACCTATATGGTATAGAGAAAATAGAGTTTAGTACCCGTCCATATAACAAAAACCCAAACAAAGATAATTGAAAAATGCATTTTCTTTTCAAGTTTAACGTAATACTTAAACCCCACTAATCCCACCCTAAAAGTATCTTTACCACTGGATTACCAAAAGAAAATTTACTAAATACTCATGCAAAGGTATGATCACTCAATTAGTAAAAATATTTGAAGCAGCTAAGTTTTCTAAAGCCATTCACCATCAGCACCCAACAGAAAATGCAAATTACTCAACCATCATAATTTTTCAGATTAGATCATGAGACAGTTGCATTAGGACTTCTATTTATGAAGTTCATTTTCCTAATAGATCTTTCAACCAATGGCTTTGACATCAGTAACAAACTTACTATTTGATTATTTGTTGATAGAAATTCTCTAGCAAAATCGGAGCCCATATACTCACATCATTATTCTGATCGCCACCAGTGTATGGCAGCAAGTCTAGCTCTAGTGGGAACTCCACGTGCTTGTCAATCTTCTCAACATAGGAGCCATCATTCTTGAATCTTTTCAAGTGGAACGCATCAACAGAAGGAGCCTAGTTCAATATAAGCTGCTTTTCTACTGACACTTTTTCTTTACATTGTTCACAAGTGAACTTTGTCTCTGGATCTTCAATCTTTTCCACCTTGGTGAAAGATTCCAATGCACTAGGAAGAGTACCCACATTCTCAATCTCCAAACTCAGGCCAATCAAGGGCTCATAGGTGTCAGAAGAGTGACCACAATTGCAGCATTGAAGCTGGAATTCAAACACAAAAGCGTTCAACAATTAAGAAACAATTCCAAATCCGTAATACATCTGTGTTGGCACATTAGTAGGGAATTCTTTTTGGAAAGAACCTAGTGATGAGAGGATAAATATTTGGTTTGATTTATATATAGTTTCTATAACCTGTTCATTTGATGAGTGATTGTGCTATGGACTGTTGAGTTTGTTAGTACAAATATCAGTGAGGTTTGCCTCAGGTTATTGACCCTATTCTGAATTTTTTTTGACTTTGTTTCTCTGTTCTTCTACCCACTATTTGGTTTCTCAGGTTGTATTGATGTTTCCATTGGAATTAAGGACATCATCAGGTGGTTTTGGTTGGAGCTGTGCTCAAATTCAAGCATGCTGACCTGCTTTCAAGGCAGCATCATTTGCATCCAATTTGCTGTTTGCCAGGAGGAAGAGGCAGCAACATCCATGTCTTTTGACTTTGGATAGCCTGAAATTCCTCAGTCACGGCTGTAGCCCAAGCTGGAGTGTTAATGGCATCTGAGAAACTATGAGGCTCAATCAGAGCAGGATCAGGAGTAGTAGAAACCAACTGTCACTGATGAGAGAATGATGGTTTAGGTCTGGTGACATGAGTAGTGCCAGCAGAATCAACATACCAATTTGTAGGACGAGAAACAGACTGAGAAGCCATATAGGCAGTGTAGGATGGAGAGGATGATTGTGTAGAAGAATTGTAAGAAGCATCCATACGAATCCAACAATCAATAGCTGTATGGTTAGGCTTGCTACAGATCTGACAAAATAGAAACGAACCAGAGGAAGAAGATAAAGATTGAGATTGTCGGCCTGAGTTAGAGAATCGGATTTCCTCGAAATCGACCTCCTATTGAGGTATTATCTCCTCTACGAAACTGATTATGATTTCCTCAAGAGTTAGCAGATGATTGATTTTGAAACCGAGTGAGTGTGATATATTGTAATGGAGTAAGCAACACTGAGATCAGAATTAGAAGACTTAGTATCTGAAGCAACATGCAAAGCCCCATAACAGAGTAAAATTATGCAGGAGTTGTGGTCTTAAGTGACAGAAATTCTGCAGGAAGTCCATTCAAGGTTATGACAACCAGATATGCTTCATCAATTGGATATCCAAATAGAGATAAATGATCAGATTTTTTTTTTTTTATCTGGAGCAAATATGCATCCATTGGTGATAGTAGGATTAGCCAAAGTTTTTCTAGAAGAATCAAGAATGGTTGTAGATGGAGGAACAGTAGATCCATCAACATAGCTCAGAAGATTCGTGTCTCTAAGTATATTATGGATTGGCGCATCCATACAATGTAATTCCTCATTGGTTGGAGAGACATTTTGATGAAGAGAATATTAAATTGACAATTTATGACTTTGAAAGGAATAAGTTTCCAAAGCTTGATGCATTTTTTTATGGTCATTGGTTGGATAGAACATTCAGTTAAGATTCACAAAGTTTAGATTGAAGACTCTAATACTACAAATTGGGATATAGACATAGACTGATTAGTGATTTAAATACCATATATCACATTATTGATTAAGAAATCAAAACGAAATTAATCAACTCATACCAACTGCTTTTTGGCTTCCCAATAACCTAATCATAACACATAATTAAAATTTTTCCTACAATCTGTAATACATCTACTCCTCCATCAGCTAGTAAACACGCTATCAAGATTTGAGGACAAGATACTAAAATACAATTAGAATCTTGTGCCTATATATAAACAATATCCATCGAAACAAAAGCAATCATTGCCATTTTATTGGAATATTTACTTTTGACAAAACTAACAACCATGAACATAAAGCTTGCACTCTTTTTTCTTGCTATCAAAAAACTTGTCGAACATATTCTAACACTAATAAAGTAATAAAGCAAACCCTGTAGAGGCACATTAAAATAGCAAAATGTTCTTTTCATCAGGCTTCATAAGACCAGAAGCACAAAGAGGTTTACTGAACACTTTGATCAGCTAGCCCTCAATACATATTGTTAGTGGTTTGTGATCAATATTAATACTCTTTATTATGCCACATTTAGTAGAGAAACTTTCATATATGTTCAAAATGAAAAGCCACACAAGTAGTGCTATCAAATATAGTTCAAACCAAGTTGCAACTGCATATAAATTGTTGGAATATAAAAGAGCGGGATCAGTATGAAAAATCGCTAACTAACGGTACAAAAATGAAAATGGAAAAATAATACCACTAAAATGAGGAAATATAAACTTTGTATTGAATTTTGTTCTCAACTCAAGTAAATATACGGTGTTCATATACTTTTTACTGAGAATTTTGTTCTCAACTCAAGTAATTTATTGAGTAAAGCCATTGTTAGATTCTATTTTATTAAAATTATTAAAAACTAGTTTGGAGAAAATAAATGAAAATTTGGAGGATGCAAAAACTAGCACAGACATTAATTCCTTTGGTCTGCAAGAGATAAAAGTTCAAACATCATCATTCCTAACTTCTATGATCATTTGTTAGAAGTTTAAGGAATCAACAGATTGTATCTTCCTACCTCCATTTAGATTTCTTCTTGAACGTTGGTCCAACTATATAATAATTAGTGTGAAGCTCAGCTATCACACATTTGTGCTGATCATAGTATCCTAAATTAAAGTGTACTTCAACTTTTTCTCCCAGACTGACTAAATATATAAAGATTTATGAGTTTTCTATCTATTAATAAAATAGCTGACAACATAGAGTTGCAGTTAGTGATCTTTCACACGTATAGAATATTAGATCACAGATAAAAATAAATTGGTAACTCTGACAGTTTGCCGCAATTTAGAATATTTTATCATCCATGCGAGTACTCTTGTGATCTTTTTGTTCTTTTCTTGTTGAACAATGTTCTATTTTTATACAATGACAAGTATACACAGACAGAAAAAATTAACTCCCAAGTACATAAAACTCCGGAGAGAATGATATGCTCGAGAAATTGGAATTTGACAGAGTTAAACTTTAACAGCATATAACCAACTCAAATAGAAATTTGTCTTCTTACTTAATTCCGACATCTAGAACTTTTCACCCAAACAAACCCCTGACATTGTACATCTTGATCACCAGGGAGAAACCATAACAAAAATGCAGTTGTGGAGCAACAAAAGCCTTTATGAGATATTTTTATCTAATGAACACTTAAAAGGCCATGTCGATGCATTTCAGAGAAGTAGTCACTTGCAAATGAAAATAGAAATAGCAATTATTTCTAGCTCGTTGGGGAAAAACAAAGTTTACTCCAGCTGTTAGCTTTGCTAGTGGTAGTAGGAAGTCCTGGGACTGAACTTGCCTCTTGCTCAAGCAGTCACTTTGAAGTATAAAACAATGTTTTACGGAAGTAAAAAAAACACAAAGATATTTCCCAGCAAAAGAAGAAAAAATAAAAATAAAATGCTTCTTTGCACAACAAAACAAGTTTCTGATTTTCTTCTGCTTTACATTACAAATTAACTTTTGCTTGACCGTTGAACTTTTCCTTTCCAAAAGAAAACATATTTTGTTTCCAAAAAACTATGACTGCTCTACATACCATAGGTTTATTCAGAAATGGAGGGCCAGTGTTTTCTTTCCAATGCAAATTCTGTTTTCAACATTATAATGCAAGAAAGACAAATTTCCAAAATCAAAGGAAAATGATCTTTGTGACTGTCCTATAAAATCATCTCTTTGTGGCTGTCCTATAAAATAATGCATACAATCCCAATCACAATGAAAATGATCTGTCCTATAAAATTATTAAAAACTAGTTTGGGGAAAATAAATAGTAGACATATATTTCTAAATTTTAAAAACTTTTTTCGCACTAAAAAAAGAAAACAATATTACAAGCTATCCAAGGAATCTCAACAAAATGTTCTCCTTTTGAGAACAACATGCAGAACCTAACTACATTGTTTACAATCCAATGCTTGTTAAAAGAAAAAATTCTTCAAATTACTTCACACAAATCATAAGAAACAATTGATAGTGAATAATTTTCAAAAGTCATAAATTAAAATTTTGTTGCCATTTTGAAATTTTAAAGTAAAAAGTATAACCTCCCTGGACATGCAAGATTATTTTCTAGGGTTCTGTAAAAGGAGAGTGTGAATAGGAGGACTTAATAAGTTAGACTTCCTGATATGTTTAATATATAGATCTTAAGTAGGTCAATAAACAAAGATATTAGCTTGAGCAAAACCAGATATATATCTCAGAGAATTACACTATTACTCTAACACCAAATCCAAGGCTACACAAGATCTAAGAAAACAAATGTAGCAAAACCATTGAGTGAGTCTGAGAAGCCTCTTGAAAACTAGCAAAATGAGGGGTATTGCCCAAAATCTGAGAAATAATTATCAAAGGGATTTACTATTGCAATCATAGAATCAAATTTCATTTCAAACAATCAGAACACATGAGAATACATACACAATCAATGAGCAGCCATACATGCAAATACATACACAATCAATGGATTAGGGCTTTGAAACTAATGAGAGAGAAAGGAAAAAGAGGGCGAAAGTAAATTTTACCAGTAAAATCAAACCCATTTACGAGATCAAACCCATAAAGCTCTAGAAATCAAACCAGTTTAAGAAATAAACACGAAATTATTTAGTATAAATCATATAAAACCCTATAGCAAGTGTTGATAGTTGGGGAAATAGAGGAAGGGAGATAGAGAGAAAGAGAGAGCGAGAGAGAGAGAGAGAGAGAGAGCAAGCGAGCGAGACAAAGAGCACGATCGAGACAGAGAGGGAGAGAGAACCTGTGGTCTACGGCGGTGACAGTGGTGATTGCGGCTGTGGCGGTGGCGATGTGTGACGTACGGTGAGCGACAGTGGTGAGGGACTGTGCTGAGATGAGGTGGGGTGACGTTTGGTGGTGATGTGTGAGAGAGAGGACTTTTGTGTTTGTTTAAACAGAGAATAGAATAGGGCGCGAACGTTAAAAGTAATTTCCCCCGCAAAGTTTTAGGCCAATTTAGCGACTAAATTGGTTATTTGTCGGCAAATAACCCATATGGTACGACTAAAACTTCTTGTAGCTAGAACTTAAGTAACAGCGACTAAAATATTAGTCACCGAAATCCTTTGGCGACTAATTTTTTTTCCATCGAAAAAAATTAGTATACCACAGCTAATTTTATTTTAATCACCAATCACCATGTTTGTTTCTAGTTTTTTAAAAACACTTTTTGGAAAAATATACTTTCTTATTTTTCGTATTTTTTTGTTTTTTTCTAAATGTTTTTAATAGTTTAAATAATTTTTAAAATTTTTAAACACATCTAACATAAATACACTCAAAAAGTATAATTTTCGTAAAAAAAACTTTAAAAAAATCCCTATATACCAAAAATACAAAAAAAAAAAAACTAAAATTCAGTATATTTTTTGTATTTTGTGTATTTATTAATTTTTAAAAATATTTTTTTACAATATTTTACTTTTTAGATACATTTAAGTAAGATACATCAAAAAAAGTAAAAAAAAAAATACTTATGATTTTTAAAATATTCACTAAAAAAAACACGAAAAACAAAAAAATCAGTTTTCAAAAAACTGAATTTAGAAAACTAAAACCAAACACACTGAATATTTTTCGATGACCAAATCTCAAGGATGTTTAAGCAGTTAGAGCTTCTGACAAAGCCTCAAACACGTTGAAGCTATTTTAGTTAGTCAAACTAGAAATACTTAATGGCATATTGAGAGTAGAAAAATATTGTCTTCAAATTGGATATGTGTGTAGTAGCACTTCATTTGAAAGGGCAATTTGTAAGGAAATGTATTATTGAAAAACTGTGACATGATTTTCAGTACAGTTGACATCTATTTTTTGATCATCGCCTTAGAAATAAGGAGATCCAATTCATAGCATTAATCATAATGCATTACTAAACCTTGTAACTTAATAAATGAGAGTGTTGTAGTGGTGGGCTGGTTTTAGCTTTAAAAGATTAGAACAACAAATTTGGAAGGGTAGGAATGAGATTGTGTTTTTGGGTACTCAACCTGATATGAATGTGCTTTGTGATCTATTTAAAAGTAGAGTGGCTTGGGGGGTTAAAGCAGCATCTCCAGATTCAAATGTGCTCCATTATAAGTTGGAAATGAAGATTTCCAACCCATGAGCAACAGCTGTAAAATACTCATCTTAACAAACTAATATATTAAAAATCAAATATAGGTAAGTATGAAATCAGAAAATAATATATATATTTATATATGGTCACCAATGTGGGAGAACGATATAAATAAGTGTAAGGAACACAAAGTTTGAATCATCTCCAACAATCTATACACAGTAAGAGAACTAGATGACACAATTTTCCCTAAATTCTAATCCAAATGTAAATTATAATCTAAATTCTAATTCACATCCAATTAACTATATCAATAAAAAAAACCCCAAAAACTAAGACTCAAAATTTACACTTAATTTGGGTTTTTACTTGCATAGTTGGTGATAAGACGACCTCAGATGATGATGATAATAGGGGGAAAGAAACCAGCGGCCTTACCACTCTTTGTAAGGGAGGAGTCGCCTGGGTGATGGATCTTAGGTGAATCGACGCTCTAGTTGCCAGCAAATACGAGGAGGTGCGGCGGAGGAAAGCTGTTCTGTGGCTATTGGAGAGGTGGTAAGAGAGGGGGAGGAGAAGAGTAGCGGAGAGGGAGAGAGACGCTGAAGGGAGAGAGGCGTTGGTTTGATTAGGGATTGGTTTGGAAACAATATATATATATATATATATGTGGTAATTTTACACAATTCGTGGCAAAACATTTTGGTCACCAATTCATTTTATAAATCCCTCCAAAATTTAAAAAGACATTGTAGAACAAAATTACTTTAGTCAAAGAGAAAACAAAGACAGAGAGAGTCACAGAGTGAGAGAGACAGATATTAGGGGAAGAGTGGCAGAGAAAGGGACAGAGAGAAGGCAAAATAGAGAGGACATACTGGGGTAATGCTCCAATAGTGGATCGATAGTGGTGCTCGATGGCAGTGATGCTCCTTACCCAACGGCGATGGAAGTAAAGCGACAGAGATTCAATATCAGGAAGAGGGCAGTAATGGAATAAGAGAGACAGAGGCGTGAGAGAATCGAAAGAGGGCAGATGAGAAAGAGAGAGAGAGTCACAGAGTGTGTGTGTTTGTGTGTGTGTGTGTGTGTGTGTGTGAGAGAGAGAGAGAGAGAGAGAGAGAGAGAGAGAGAGAGAGACGTGTTTAAGCCCTAACTCATTTTAGTTTGTTTGAAATCCCTCTAGAGTTCCTCACCAAATTAATTTAAAAATCCCTCCAAAACGATAATAAATAAAAAATAAAATTATAATAATAAATAATAATGATAATAATAATAAAATTAAACATCAACTCAAATTGGGCAGCATGTGTTCCCACTAAAAAAATTGAGTTTTATTGCCGACTAAATGTGTTTTAGTCACCAAAAATGTATATTTGCCGACCAAATAAGGTAGTCACCAAAGATGAAAACTAAAACTATACTAGATATTTGGCGACTAAATTTCTTTTAGTCGGCAAAAGTTGGTATATGACGACTAAAATTTATTTAGTTGCTGAAAATAAAAATTTGGCGACCAAACTTTTGGTTGCCAAAGATAAAAGTAAATTTTTGTTTTCCATTCGGCGACTAAATAAATTTAGTAGCCAAAAGTAACTATACAATGATTGAAATATTTATTTAGTCGTTGAAAATAATTTTTTGGCGACCAAACTTTTGGTCGCCAAAGATAAAAAGTAAATTTTTATTTTTCATTTAGCGACTAAATTATTTTAGTTGCCAAAACTATCTATACTGAAATTAAATTTTTTCCGACCAAACTTTGGGTTGCCAAAGATTAAAAGTAAATTTCTATTTTTTGATTCGGCAACTAAATAATTTTAGTTGCCAAAACTATCTATACAGCGACTAAAATATTTTTTAGTCGCTGAAATTAAATTTTTGCTGACCGAACTTTTGGTCGCAAAAGATAAAAAGTAAATTTTTATTTTTGATTCGGCGACTAAATAATTTTAGTTGCCAAAACTATCTATACAGTGACTAAAATATTTTTTTAGTCGCCATTTGTGGCAAATTTAGCGACTAATTTTTTTTTAGTCGCCAATTGTTACATTTTTAGCGACTAAATTGTTTTTTAGTGGCCAATAATGCATATACCCCGACAAAAAATTTAGTAGCTAAATATTGTACTTTTACCGACTAACATAATTTTTGGTTGCCAATTCCACAACTTTTGGCAACCAAAATATTTTTAGTCGGCAAAAGTGGTCGCCAAAAGTGTATTTTCTTGTAGTGTTGTATTTATCTATTGAACCATCTGCTTTAATTTTTCTCTTGAATATCCACTTATATCCAAGAGGTTTACATCCTGTTGGAAGATCTACCAATTCCCAAGTATGATTTTGCAAAATAGATTCAATTTCAATATTCACAGTCTTTTTTCACAATGGAGCTTCAGGACTTGACATTGCTTCCTTGAAGTTTTGAGGCTCATTTTCTAGCAGGTATGTCAGAAAATCTGGACCAAATGATTTAGAGATCCTAGTCTTCTTGCTACGTCTAGGTTTACCTGCTTTATTATCATTTTGGTATTCACTGCTACCTATAGCAATATCAAAAGTTCTTTTATTTGAACTTGTCTCTTTAGTTTTCTTGCAAGGAAAAATGTGTTCGAAAAATGATGCATTTCTTGACTCAATAATAGTGTTTATATGCATATCATGATTTTTAGATCTATGAACTAAGAATCTGTATGCACTACTATTATTTGCATAGCCAATGAACACACAATCAACGGTTTTTGGTCCTATCTTAGTTGTTTTAGGACTAGGTACTGTCACTTTGGCCAAACACCCCCACACTTTGAGGTAATTGTAGGTAGGTCGTCGACCTTTCCATATTTCATAAGGTGTTTGATTGATTTTCTTGTGGGGTACCCTGTTAAGGATAAAGTTAGCATACAAAATCGTCTCCCCGTACATGTTCTGAGGTAACCCTAAACTAATTAACATGGCATTCATTGTCTCTTTAAGAGTTTGATTGTTTCTCTCAGCAACTCCATTTGACCGAGGAGAATAGGGTGCAGTGGTTTGGTGAATAACACCATGTTCAGAACAAAATTCCTCAAATGGTGCATCATACTCATCACCTCTGTCACTCCTCACTACCTTAACAGCTTGGCCAAGTTGATTTTTAACCTCAAGCTTATATTGCTTAAAAGCTTCTAAGGCTTCATTTTTACTTCTCAATAAGTAAACATAACAATATCGAGTGCAATCATTAATAAAAGTAATAAAATACTTTTTACCTCCTCTAGTTTGAACAAATTTTAAATCATAGATATGTGTGTGAATTAAATTTAGAGGTTCAGTACTTCTATCTACTTTATTAAATGATGCCTTAATGAGTTTTGTCTCAACACAAATCTCACATTTATGATTAGGATCAAACTCTAAGTTTGGCAAACATTCTAAATAAACAAGTCTACTCAAAGAATTAAAATTTACATGTCCTAATTTACCATGCCATTAAAAAGAAGACTCAACAATATAAATAGAAGATGTGTTCTTATTATTAATAGCCAAATTTGGTACAACAGTTAATATATTGAGCTTAAAAAACCCATCACTCATGTAACCTCGCCCCACATACATTCCACTATTGGAGAGTACAACCTTGTCAGATTTAAAAACTAATATAAACCCATTCTGGATCAACAATGATCCAGAAATAAAATTTTTGCGAATCTCCAGCACATGGAGTACATTGTTAAGAGTGAGTTCTTTCTCCAAGGTCATTTTCAGCACAATCTTTTCTTGTCCTTTCACGGTTAATGTAGAGGAGTTTTCCATAAAAAGTTGCTCTCCACTTTCCACT